TTTTCTCTCTCTTTCTCTCTCTCTTTCTCTCTCTCTCTCCAAATAAAAAGCCTCCCCACCTTAGGGGCGCGACTCCACCGCTATGCCGTGAAGAGATATCATTTATTTTCGAGACCGCTGCAGCCTCGCATGGGAGCCACTGATGTTTCGAGTTTGAGAATGTGCCGTACCTCAAAACCGAAACATTTAAACGTGTCCTGTCTCGCTGTCGTGAATGGTTCCGGTCGCGCGCGGATCCACACTGACAAACCAAAACTCCACACCTCCTGGTGCGGAGCGTCGAGTCACAGAGAGACAGACCAGGGTCTGCTGTGCCCCATCCGGTTCGGTTTCCCGGTCTCCTCCAGTGTAGGAGATGTCCCGATCAGCGGGGCCTGCCCCCAGCAAACCCCCCCCCCCCCCTGCTGGACGTTGAAATGCTCAGCTGGGCAGATGAACGGGCTTAACCCGGCACGGCAAGGCAAGGCATGGCAAGGCAAGGCATGGCAAGGCAAGGCAAGGCATGGCACGCCACGTCGCCCCGCCGCGCCCACGCGGGATTTATTGATTCCATAACCCGTGTACTGGACGTATGGCGCAGCCCTCACCCTCTGCCAGGCCTTGTCCCGAGTGGGAGCTCTCTCTCTCTCTCTCTCTCTCTCTCTCTCTCTCTCTCTCTCTCTCTCTCTCTCTCTCCCTCTCTCTCTCTCTCTCTCTCTTCTCCCTCTCCCTCGCGAGGCGTCCAGCATCGTGTCAAAGTGAGAGAGAGAGAGAAAGAGAGTGACCGCGCCGCCCTCCACTTCTTCAAGCTGGACAGGTGCCTGGCGCTTCGCCTCTCCTTTGAGACGGACTGCTGTCCTCGTCGACCCCCCAATTAATGAAGGACGTGATGCAGACGTCGCACGTGTGGTGCTCTCTCTGTGCGATGTGTGTGCGATGTGTGTGTGGTGTGTGTGTGTGGGGTGTGTGTGTGTGTTTTGTGCGTGTGCGTGTTTGTCTGTGTGTGCGTTTGTCGGTGTCTACGCGCAAGCTCCTCTTCTGGCCGCCCGCAGACTCCCCATCCAGCCTTTGATGTGTCTCATTGCGAAAGCGACAGCGTCACACACGAAGCAATACATCCCAAACAGACTCTGCTGTGGGCCGCCCAACGGCGACAGTGCCCCCTTCGCCTTCCCCAAAACCAGCGTGGCCGGGGTCTTTGTGACGCCGCCAACGCGCTTGTGTGTGTGCGTGTGTGCGTGTTTTGGTGTGTGTGTGTGTGTGTGTGTGTGAGCGTGCCTGTCTGTGTGTGCCTAGTGTGTGTGCCTAGGATGAAGAGGACTGTGTGTTCCAGGGGTACATGGACCCAATCCTCGCCGTGAGGGTCTCCTCGACGGTCTCGACTCGAAATCCCCGTGGCTCCCGCCCCCGCGTTGCTCCGCTGGGCTCGGCGTGTTCCCGTACGGTCGTGAATGTGTTAAGCTCCAGAGTCGCTCAATGGGACTCGAAGCGAACGTTTGACCCCACCAATGGATTGCTCGTTCGAAGAGCAATCCATTGGTGGGGTCACACTTTCGGTTCGAGTCCCATTTAGCGACGCTATGGAGCTCAAAACCCGTCGAGAGTTTTGGCCCCCTCCACCGGTCCTTCTGGCCCACTGTGCGCGGGGCAGCAGACTGATTTCCGCGCGTTGTGTCCGTCGCTCTCTCTCTCTCTCTCTCTCTCTCTCTGTCGCTCTCTCTCTCTCTCTCTCTCTCTCTCTCTCTCTCTCTCTCTCTCTCTCGCACCTCACGGGGACGCCGCCCGTGAGTGCGAGAGAGACTTGTTGCTGGATACGCCACTGCTTATAGGGCAGGCTCACATCTCGACAAGCGACGATCATCTGGGGATCAAAACGAGCGGGAACATTCAAGTAGTGTTCTCGTAATTAAGCATCGGGATGATTATTTTGTGACTTTAAATGGCGTTTTGTTGCTCAGAGGGAATACTAACGTTCGCAAGCACGCGTACAAGCTGCCTAGGAGCGTCAAAATTGCTTCAAAACAATTTCCCCTTAATGAAAGTGGGGCCCGCAGTAGCAGCGTCCGCTACCAAGGCGCCCATAACCTCCAACCACATCGCTTTTATTTTTTCATGCGAAACGTTATTATAATTTCAGTGAATACGCATCCTAGGTAGGCGTTAATGCTAAGAAATACAAGGCAAGTGCATAAATCGATCCAAATGCCCGATAAACAGCAGAAAAGAAGTCAAAATTCAATCTTCCCGCGAGAATGATCCCCAGATGGAAGGGAACGTTGTTGGTCCCATCACCGCTAGTGACTCGCAGAAGCTGTTGTGAGCCTGCCCTATTGGAACGCAGCCCGCGCCGCCCTAATCGCCGTCATTAAGTGCTTCGACGAGTTCCTTATCGCCGGCCAACTTCAGCCCCCCCCCCCTCCCCCTCTCTACTTCCACTCCACGTCCCAAAGCTCGGCTTTCTGAACAAGGTGTTTAAGTTTTGCCGCCGCCCTGGGCCGCCCAGTTCAGTCGTCCGTTTACTCACCGTCACAATTTGTGGAGGCGGGTCCGCCCCGCCCCGCCCCGCCCCGCCCCGCCCCGCCTCACCGCACGTCGGGACAATTACTTTCTAAACTCCCGGCTGGGGCGGGGCGGGGCGGGGCGGGGCGGGGGCGTGTCAGAAGGGGACACAATGAAGACAAAGTCGCGACCGAGGAATCATTGACTGATTTCGTCCCGGTTTGGTTGGGCTGCGGCCGCTCAGCCGGCGTGTTGAGCCGCCGTTGGCGCACCTGCGACCCGAGACGACGACACTGCGAAATCGAGTGTGGAGAACGCCACACTTGAAACGCGGAGGAGTGTGGAATTCGCAGTCTCAGCACTTCAAGTGAGGAGTTCTCCACACTGAGAAAGCTTCCTCGCCCAATTTTGGGTGAGGAAGGGTGTATCAGCTCCCTATCTAGCTCCATAGTATTATGACCCAAATTTGGGTGAGGAAACTTTCCTCACCCAAATTTGGGCAAGGAAAATTTCCTCACCCAAATTTGGGTAATAAAGAATTCCTCACCCAAAATTTTAGTCATGACCATGACTCTTTCATTCTCAGTGCACGTTTGCACCATGCCGAGAGGTAGAGGGGTTCTGTGAGCTTCTCCACACGTGCAAGTGTAGCGAATGGAGTCCGGCACCAGGGAGTGTGGAGTTCTCCACGCTCGGTTCGACAGTGTGGCGACGACCGCGACGTGTGCAGTGCGAGCCAAGTCCTCCGCTGCGCCTTGGCTACGCCTTGGCTACGCCCCGCCCGGCCCCGCCATTTCCCCAGGTAGAGACAGTTTCAAGAGGCGGCTGCATGCCCGTCTGCTCCTCTGCGCGTCGCATGCGGGGCTAGCGGCGGCTAGAGCGAGCTAGAACGCGGAAGCGAGGGGGCGGAGGGGGCCTTGTGCCCCCACCCCCCTTTTCGGACTGATTCCGCACAGTGCGGCCGCCGGTCTGTCTCTCTCGCACCGGTACGGAACGCCCCGAGAGCGCGAGAGAGAGCTCTCTCTCGCACCTCCCTCTCGGATTCAGTCTACCGCCCCCCGCCCCCTCTCCCGGGTACAGGAAGAGGGGCGCCGACGGGGCAATCTGCGTGCACGGCTCCCATGGGACGCCCCCCCCCCTTTCCCCTTTCTCTTTGAAACAGCACTCCGGGCGGGACCCGTGCTGCACCCCGCTCGGCGCGCCGCGTCCCGCCCGCCAGTATTTGCCTTCCACGGCCAGCCTGCCAGCCTAGGCAGCCCGCGGGCCGAGCCGCCGGGCCGCCAGGCCCCAGCAGCCAGCAGGCACCACACTGCTAATCCTAGTGTAGGACCAGTCTTACACTGCATCGTCCGCCAAAATGCTGTCCCACCACTGCCAGCAGATGTCGACCTCTTTGTCCAGCACGGGCGCC